TTTCCAATTCACAATGACATCTGTAAGTTTAACTGGTTTATAAAGTATTCAATGAAAGCCCAAATTATTATAGGTGTAGGAGCTCACATTAATACACTGTCAGTGTTAATAAACTAAAAAAAGACAAGGCGATGTGCCTGCAAGACTCACTCAGGTAAACAAAACATATTACCCGTGCGCAGCAGCTAAGCTGCCTGCGAGCCTTCGCTCAGATCACATTTACACACGGCGCGGCTGAAGCCCGCTAGCACTATTAGCACTAGCAGTATCGCTAGCAGCCACATTGTTTAGGCTGTCAAATACACTGCACCGTTTTAGATTCAATGAGTGTCTCGTTTGCAAATGCTTAATTTAGTTGCTTGTGTTACCCCCTTTACAAGCAACTAATTGAGTACATAGATTGCACCTCGCACTATCGCCAGCTACATTTTTTTAAAGTGCACCCTTCGATCGCTTCGCTCTGTCCGCCATGCCTGAGGGAGTCTCACAACAATAATAAGAGCGCTGTTGAGAGAGATGACGAGCGGCATTTACAGTGGCCAATCAGAGGGGTCTCAAACCGGATACATCACACGGGATGAGGGTTCCCAACCAACCAGAATGGTTTAAAGTTAAACTAAGGAAGTAGACGTAACACATACCGATAGCAGCCCCGTTTGTCCAGCGGCTTAACGGTATACCGATACCGTCCAATCAGGTACCGGTATTGACTTAGTACGGGTTCTCGATACTCATNATTTACATCTTTATTCGCGTTTGGATCAAATGTGTTAAGAAGTTAATCAAGTCTATCGTCGTCTACTTGTGTTATTAAAGTATTGTTAGCAAAAATCGTGCAAGGATAATAAATACATGTATCCTGATTTTCAAAACTCAGCCGGTGTCGGGAAAAACGGGTGCGAGGGCGAGTATATTGCTTTTTTTATTTTTGTAGTTATGCGCAAAGTCCTTCCTTGAGTAACCTTTAATCAAATGTATAATACTTGTTATTAATTGATTAGTTATTGATTAAGTGCATTACCCCCAGTATAAAACTGAAATAATCCAAACAAACAAACAAACAAACTTGATGGCACTGGTAAACAAACTTAAATGCTGCAAAACTTGTTAGCTATTGTTACCTGAAATCACGGAACATTACCAATTATTACATAAAGAGCACATGTGAATAAATACACATTGAAAAACCAAACAGATTCATCGACATGTACTAAAGAACTCTGGGACCACTTTTGGTGATAGGCTGATCTATGTATATTGCAATGGAGTAGGAGTATTACAAAAAGAAAATATATTGTGATCAATAGTGCATTGGGCACGCTGCCAGCAGAGCCCTTGTTGTTGCAGATATTCTGAAATCGTTCTGCATTCATTCTTTCTGACTCACATGAATTAGGTTGTAGATAGGTAGAGGTCCTCCGGGGTGTTGAGGGTCTTTTGGCTGCTGGGTCCTGCGGGGGGTCCTCGACTGTCTCTTCTCGGCTGAAAATGAACATAGTCTGTTAACGACATCAGACAGTGCTAATATGTTGAGTGTCGGTAAAGTAGCTGGGTAAGGATTCAGAAGAGTACAAATACATGGACACTGAAAGGAACCTGAACCTTGACATCACTTTTACACATCATAACGATTCTGTTTAAAGCAGACTTTAATGAAGTGCTTTGACTCACTTTTTGGTGTACAGTACCTTCAAATAGCTCATTTACTAAATTGCCTTTTAATAAGATTTGAAATGTCTTCGGTATGCATTTGCATTGCGTTTTGATACGCAAAGGCCTGGTAATGAGTTCTGATTTCTACACACAAAGAAATGAACATCTGCTTTTATGTTTACACTTATCCAAAAGGTGTAATGAAGATACAAGGACAATAATTGTTATTTTTCAGTGTAATATACATTTGGAAAGGATTTTGCTTTTGTTTCTTATACATTTTTTTATTTTGGTTATTTCATATCACAAAGGTCAGTGACTGGAACTAAACACGATGTTAAGATACATACATACCACCTTAAAAACTGTAGACTTCCAAGGTATTCAAAGAGATCTTTCTTCAAAATGTGGATTACGTTTTACAAAATTACAAGTTTTAGTGTATTTAGTTTAATGAGGTTCTAATATCTGCAGAAATCTTTGACCCCTACAACATGATGTAAAGTTGCCTGTTTTATTTCACTATGAATGGATTATAAAGGAGGATGAGAAAACTACATACAAATAAAGGGTCATGTTAGTGTTAGGGGTTTGTCAGTAATTTGAACATATTGTATATCATCTTTGGTCATCGTGTTCCCTTCTGCAGCACATCATGATCAAACAGCCAGTGGGATCATTACATACACGGCTGGCTGGAAAGAGACTATTGAGTGTGATACCACAGTGACCTATGACTTTGTTGTTCCTATTGAACTGCCTTAGGGTTATGTATGGAGATACACACTGCCGTTTAACCCTAAGGCCTTGGTCCAGTTTGAATTTTCCAACAGAGATTACGTGTCAACCTTTGACAACAACAAACAGCATCCAATAACTTTGTGACCTGCGTTGAATCGAACACAAAGAGAGAGATGTGTTTGTGTCCCGCTGGACCACCTCTCATGCACATCACCTCCATACAGTAGTGGATGTGTTGCAATCCATCATACATGTCATGGCTGACACTGTTACCATGTTCCTCTTTGGGCATGTGATTGTTTTTGCCATTATAAACATATTACAATGACCTTTGCTTGTCGCTTATTATTAATCACTGTTCACGCAAGAGGAAAACACTCGGCCATCCGTCATGTTCAGAATCTCTCAGGTAGGAGGTGTAAAAGTTTGGAATATTATTGAACAACTGCATCTAAAAAGGTCATTCTGTATTGCTCAAACAACCAAAGCCAATTTCCCACACCCTCTTATTAATTCCTGCAATAATTGTTTGAAAAAGGCTTGCCCACATAACGTGATTAACATTTGACGACCTTTCCCCATTGAGAACAATGTGACTGGCCTTCTTCTGCTTTCATTGTAAGTGACACAAATGATTCTGATGAGGTTTATTGTTGCAATGAAATGTACAGCTTAGGACTGTCAATGGAGAAATGACAAAGAGGGGCTGAGGAGAATCATTAATGAGGAAATCGCACTGGCCCTCGGAAATAACAAAGATAATTTATTCTGCTTTACCTCAGGCAGTGTGCTGTGCAAGAAAAGCATGTAAAGGGCAAACGTGCCCGGATTGAAGCAACATCTGTACTCTACTGGAAACTCTCTGTGAAGTACTGTTTTAGACAAAGGTCTATTTTGGTAATCACAATTAAATCAGGGAGAAGTACATCCAAACGCACAACTGCAACTGCATGTAAGTCATTTAGCTTGTTATGTAAATGTTCAGACTCATATTTGTATTTTTCCTTACTTTGATGTTCAAAAAGGTCTTTATTTGTCTCATACTGCAGCACCTCTTTTCACCCTCTGTCTGAAACCAGAGCCCACTCTGCTCTGATTGGTTAGCTTCCCGTCTCTTTGTTTGTGATTGGTCAACTGCTAAGAGATGTCCTGCCCCTTAGCCTATCACGTACAATGTGTTGACGTTTTGGCCAACATGTTACTTTGGGATTTTAACCCCAAAAATCTTAATAGGGCCCCTTTAACTAAGCCTGTATACCTGCGATATTGTACAATTCTCCTGATGGCTGATGTAATAAAACATTATAAAGAGATTAAGATGTGTAACTAACATTATTTGGCTCCTCTCTACTAACAATGATGACTTTAGAAGGTTGGGAACTTGTAAGCAGGTTAGGTTTACCTAAACCCATTGGCTAAGGTTAGGGAAAGACTGTGGTTACTCAAAATTGTCTGTGACAGGAAGTGAACTCCACATGAAGTTGGGATTGCAACTTTTACTATGAGTTTATTACAAATCATGCACACAACTTATTTAAATGCTGAGAATCAGACAGATGCAATTAAGCAAACATACCACTTAAAATGGCAACTGAAAATCTAATTAACAGTAGAATAATCATGATGCCAGCTAAGAAAAGTCAATCATCAGTATTACATAATTATGACATTATTTTTCTCATAAATCTTAAACCATGATGCTGGCGACATTACAGCTGCTAGTTCCGTTTTAATAGGACGGTGAACTTTCAATTTGCTGTCTCCCCTCGCTCACCACCCCGAAAGCAATTACACCTATCGCCTGTGCAAATCAACTTTTATTTTTGATGACACATTTGGTTGAGAAGCGCGTCCTGTGTTGGCACTTGACTTTCACAGGTTTCCTGATCTAATCAAGCCACACGAGAGAAAAGAGAGGGGCGGACGTCGATAACATCAAAGTCTGTTACAAGACGTTATTAAAAATCTCTGCTCCCTTTTTTCTTTTTTTGCATAAAGAAAACAAGTACAGTGTGGGACCACACAGCTTTGACATTATAAAACCCGGAAAAGCAGTAATTCATCCTGCCTCAAATCCTGGATATTTAAAAACAGGGCTTTAGACGATCCTTTCTTTTCTTTTCAGTGTAGCAGGAAATGACACAGTTGCACTCTGGGTTATCTGGGTGGATGTGTATCAACGTCATTTAGCCGTTGACGGACAACCCTTGGAAAAACACTGAAGAATGAATAGACAAAAAATAATAGATACATGTCTGCCCTCGACAGCCCCCTTGTCTTCTTCAATTATCTGACGACTCAGCGCTTTAACACAACCAAAAATGAACATTAACCTCGGGTCAATCCGCGCCATCATTTTGAATTATATTTTATTGCTTTATGATGTTTCTTTTTCCTGAGCTAATCTCTGAATTATCTTACCTGATTGTTGATTCTGAGGAGGATAGCCATTCATCGCTTTTCCTCTCACAAACATGCCATTGTTCTCTGGGTTTGATTGATGGGCCTGGATGATCTCATTTAACTTAAGCTGCAGCGACATGAAGTCCTGAGAAGTCTTTGCGATCTGTTAAAGAGATTTGATAAAAAGGGAATATGTAAGTGGATAAAAGGATGATTGGTGGGGACAGAGTAATAGTAATGTTTAATAATTATACCTCTTTGGAGAAGCTCTCTAGTTGGGCAGCTTCTGTCTGTGCTGTCTGCTTGTTGGCCCTCAGGTTCTTCCGGTCTTTGTACCCTCTGAAGTTGCTCTGGATCTTCACTGCGGCCTGCTCTTCCTCCAGCCTCTCTCTCTCAGCATCTGTCTCGTCTTTCCTTTCAATCGTCACGTCCCCAACACCCAGGGCTTCTTCCTCTGCCTCCTCTTTAGCTTCCTCCTCTGCATCATGCGCTGACTCTTCCGTTGTTTGATTCTCTCTCTCTGCTTTCAGCTTCTTTCGGTCCCTATGTCCTCTGAAGTTACTCTGGAGGACTGTAGCAGCTTTCTCCTCATCCAGTCCCCCCGAGTTCTCCGGGGAAGCATCCTGCTGGGATTCTGGCACTGATTCTTCTGGCGTTACCTGTTGTCCTTCCTTCGGAGGCTCTTCCACTTCCTTCTTCTTCCTCTTCGGGATCTTGCCTTCCTCCTCGAGTCGTTTGCGCTCCTTGTGGCCGCGGAAGTTGCTCTGGAGCACCACTGCTGCTTTGGCCTCATCTTGGTCACCTGACGCACCTTGAGCTTCGTTGGATTCTTCTTTGTCTGATACTCCCTCTGCTGGAGCGTGCACCTCTTCCTCTCCCGTGCTCACCGTGGGCTGTTCTTCTTCACCAGCAGGACTTGTTGCTTTCTGTTTCCTAGCTGGGATCTTGCCTTCGTCCTGCAACCTCTTCCTCTCTTTGTGACCTCTGAAGTTACTCTGGAGGACAGTGGCAGCCTTGGTTTCTTCCTCCACATTGACGGCTTCTTCTCCTGCAGCGTTTTCTTCTCCCTTCTCCTCCCTCTTGTCCTCCTCCTGCCCTTCTTTTCCAGCATCTGCTGACAGGGCTACTTCAATCATTGCTACATCTGCAATTTCGGAATCATCTTCCGGCACCTGTGTGTGATCGCTGTCATCGTTCTCCTCTGCTTCATACGTGCTCTCTTCCTCGTCGTCATTCTCCTCAGCTGTCTTTCCCTCTTGCTCTTCTTTGCTGGTAGACTCTTGCCCAACTTTTTCTTCCGCCACTGCGTCAAGTGGCGACTCTAATTCAGCCCCGGCCATCGTCTTTTTCCTCTCCTTAAACTTTTTCCTCTCTTTGTAGCCCCTGAAGTTGCTCTGGAGAACCACAGCGGCTTTAGTTTCATCTTCCTCGTTACCCGCTTCGTTGACGGCAGCAGTGGAGTCTTCTCCGTTGGGGGTCTTGGCTGCTTCTTCTGCCTCTTTTTCTTGAAGGGCTTTCTCTGCTTTCTCTTCCCTTAAAACAAAATGGGTACGTTTGTATCACAAAACAATAAACATCTTTTCTTTCCATGCTATGTTATGTTAATATAATATCTCTCATACTGTTTTCTTTTGAAGCTTTTCCTTTCCTTGTGCCCTCGGTAGCGAGCCTGAATCTTGGTTGCAGCTTTGTTCTTCTCATCTACCAACTCCTTGTATTTCTTTTTTGCAAGATAGCCCCTGCACACTGGAGAAGGCGAAAAGGGGAACGTCAGCCAATGCAACACACACTGAGCTTAGATTGTATCGGATAGATTAGATCCTGTTCTTACCAGCCTGAAACTGGACAATGAAGGCCTCAAACTTGGCTTTGCTTTTGTCATCGGCCGTCTTCTTCCGAACCTTATGACCTCTGTAAGCTGGAGAGTGGGAAACAAACGTTAAAACGTGAGCTGCCATGGAAAGGTATAACAACTGCTGCATGTTCTACTAGTGGACAGAGTGTGTATTAACCTGACTGCAGCACCAGAGCACTCTGTTCTCGCTCCTTTAATGTCCGCCGGTATCGCTTGGCTCCCAGCCAGCCTCGGACGTAAGCCTGGAGCAGGATGATCCGCTGAGTGGCCTGCTGCACCATCAGGTTCAGATGCTCCACGTGGTAGTACTTGAGGAACACCTGAGAGTACAGACACATAGTAATTATCAGGGTTCATACACTTTTTCACCAATGACTTTTCAATGACTTCTCCATGACCTTTACCTAATTTTCCATGACCAAAACAATTCTCAGCAGAACCACTGAAAATGGTTTATTTTAACATGGAACAGGAAAAATAAGGTCTGCATATGAAACATGTTGTGCCTAATCTAAAACAAATCCAATAGTAGGCTTATTAGCTTCTACACGCTAAAGCCACTAAAATCTCTCACCAGCAAAATACCTCGACAGTTAAATGCCATTTTACGTTTCATTACTATACGATACAGAATTTATTATCATTATAGTATTCTATTTCGGTGATTAGATAAAATATAAATTATATTTGATGCAACTTTAGTTACATTTCCATGACTTTTCCAAAGCTTTGGGAAAAATATTGTTTTCCATAACTCTTCCAGGGCCTGGAATTAGCATTTTCAATTTCCATGACTTTTCCAGGTTTTTAATGGCCGTAAAAACCCTGAATTATGTTTTACTTGCAACTAAACAAGCAAGTTGGAGTCCCACTGCAGTCAGCATGTCGTTGTGTCCCTGGTATTGAGTATTGGTATTGGTATTGAGTATGTCAGTCGCTTTGGATAAAAGCGTCTAACAAGTGACATGTAATGTAATAATAAACAATGTGAGTCAAGATGGTGTGGAAGAAAGCACTTGAAAAGAGAAAGTAGTCTCAAGCTCAGATGGTAGGTTTTTGCAATACATTGGAGTTTAGTACAATGTAGTACAATAAATGTGGCCTTTCTTGATTTGCGAAGGCTTTCATGGTTATTATTTAGGGTCATAATAATAACACCAGTGTTTCCCCTAGGATGGAGTCATAGCAGCGGAGCTAAGGCACGTGGGCCCAGCATAATGTGAGCGTGGAGCGCGTGGAATTTTTTAGTGTGTGCGAAGTGCGCCCCGCCAATTTGTTTCTATGTGTCAGCACAAGAAAGGCTCTTGAGGCCTAGTACCAGGGCCGGTTCTAGACAATTTGCTGCCCTTTAGGCGACATTTTATGTGTAAAGAATAAATGAAAAATCTCTACAAAAGACAAATACACTGCAAAAANNNGGAAGTAGACGTAACACATACCGATAGCAGCCCCGTTTGTCCAGCGGCTTAACGGTATACCGATACCGTCCAATCAGGTACCGGTATTGACTTAGTACGGGTTCTCGACACTCATCCCTAGTCCTGTGTGTTCTTAACAGTGCAGTGTTTCCCCTAGGATGGAGTCATAGCAGCGGTGCTAAGGCATGTGGGCCCAGCATTATGTGAGCGCGGAGCGCGTGGAATTTTTTAGTGTGTGCGAAGTGCGCCCCGCCAATTTGTTTCTATGTATCTGCACAAGAAAGGCTCTTGAGGCCTAGTACCAGGGCCGGTTCTAGACAATTGTCTGCCCTAGGTGAGATTTTAGGCGACATTTTATGTGTAAAGAATAAATGAAAAATCTCTACAAAAGACAAATACACTGCAAAAACAGAAACTTATTGACATAGGTAATAGACGTCAAAATGGCTTCAAATGTATTCAGTATTGTATGAACATGTTTGAATTGGAGGGTTGACGTCACATCCTCTCGGGGGGTTCGGGGGTAT